CCTTTGATGTCATGTACTTAAGGCTCACAGGTCTCTTTACAATTCCAGTTGACCATTCAAGCTGGTTGAGCATCAATGCAGTCTTCCCAGAATTTGCTATTTCTTTATTTTCATTGCCATCAGAAGAGCTCCTATGAACTTGAGTTCAGTCTGAACATCCACTGAGGACTCCCTAGTGCTCTGTTTCATATGTTTGCTGGGAATAGTTACCTCCTCATCAGTATTGTCCACCAGATCTTTCTGGTAGTGGTAGAAATGGCTGTCCACGTGGTCAGTAGGCAGCCACTAAACCATTTGTGACTGTTGAGTATTAGAAATGTGGCTAGTGTAACTGGGAGACTGGCTTTTCCATTTTGGCTACTCACTTGATTAAATTTTAACTAGTCACATGTATTTAGAGGCCACTGTATTAGATGTACAGCTTTGAAAGGGAATACATTGAGTTTTGAGGTAGATGATTTCCAGCTCCTCTTGGATGGCCAAGCTTCAAGCTTCATACTGCAGCCAGATCCTGTTCCACAGGAAGGACATGACAGTTTGAGACTGGATCACAAGGACCATCAGAAGAGGGTTAGCTTGTCAGGTATTCCAGCCTTGATGCTTCTGAATTTCTTTTGTTTTTTTCCCTTTCTGTTTTGTTTTGAAACAAGGTTCTAGGCCTTGCTGTAGCCCAGGCTGGCCTTGAATTCATAGTGCTTCCATATCTAGCCCCTGGCTCTGGGGTCACATGTGTGACCATCATGCCTGGCTTTTCTGATTTTGTTTTTCTAAGTTCTTGAGGTTGTTTCCATGAGAATGATAGCGAGTTCCTCCACTTCCCCGCTGGAAAGGAGTGCTTCCTGGAATCTCTCCTGGTGGGTATGTTTACTCTCTCAGAATATACCTTCTTCTACCATCCTCCTCCTTTCCCAGGAAGGGCCCAAGACAGAGCAAATGAGAACAAAATTCACCTCCTCCTTTGACTGTTCTTAGTTCTTCCTCCCTTACATTGACAGTCTAACAGAAACTGGGGAGTAACTCATGGCTCTGGGACTGTGGTCCTGTTGCCTATTAGCAGGGTGTGGACTTGAACTTAGACCAGGAGCACTTGAGTCTGCCATCTGTTGGTCCATCCTGGTGTACCTCACCTTCTGAAACCTGCAGCTTCTATGCCCGGGGATGTGCCTGGACAGGATGAGGGTGAGGAGCTTAGGGGAACGTGGACAGCCCGACTCCCAAACCACCTTCATCTCATTTGGCAGCAGAATCAAGGATCCCAGGTCCTCACTTTGGCTGTGCTCCCGAGAGCTCTGGCTTTGCATGGACCACTCAACTGCTGTGTTTCAGCTTCCTGTTCTGTTCAGCAGATTAGCTCAGACACTCATCCCCTCACAGGCTTGCCCAGCGGCTGGTAACCAGCAGTGCTGTTGTAAGGTCGGTCATACTTAGGAAGGGCGATGCTCCTGTTGTCCCTGTGTTAAAGAAGGGATGCCAGGCAGCAAGAGCCCAGTCCTGTTTAGGGAAGGGAAGGCACACTCAGGAGACCCCACACTGGGCCCCCACACTGAAGAAGGGCTGCTGCTGTGGGTGTTTCCTGGCAGACCACCTGTGAGCCCTGGGTGTCTGTGCGGCGGGAAGTGTGGCTTTGCGCCTGCTGCTTTATAACAGGGCTCCCCATGCCAAGTGGACTACAGCAGTGTCATCACATAGTGTCCCCCTTCACTGTGAGTTTAACTCTGATCCCCTCTCTTTAACAGACACGCATTCTCGGGCCAGTGTGAGGCTGTGCACAGACCCTGTCTCATTCTCCAGTTAATCTCCCTGTGCTGTCATTGTCACATAGGCAGCCGACGAGGGTGGCATTTGCCTGACTGTAATTTGAAAGCCACCCCACCCCACCCCCACCCCTTTTTTTTCATTGTCACTTACAGGAATTGCTGAATGACTCATTATGCCACAGTCAGCCCTCTCGGGCTCTTTGTCACAAAGGGCCTGCCCGGTCAGATTAAAGTGTGCAGCCACTGTAGTGTCCCAGTCAGCAGGTCAGCTTCTGTGGCTCCGTAGAGCGCTCTGAAGTGAGCTGGCATGGTGGCCCAGGCGGCAGCGGTGGTTCTGGAGTGGAGTCTGTTCTGTGTACCTGTGCTAGGCTAGTGCTTTGCAGGGAGAGGCTGAGTGAGCTTGGGAGAATGAGAGAATGTGTGGATGGCATTTGAGAGTAAACAAAAGGGCGCCGGGAGTCCCTTGGGAATGTGCGCACGCCTCTCTGGAACTTCGAACTGTTCTGTCCCCACCCCAGAGTCTGATTCCACTGTACCTAGAGGCACTGGCGAACGTGTTTGAAGTATGTGTGGGGGGTCATTCATTTACCAGTTAGATGGCATTCGGTAAACAATGTCCTGGAGCTCTAAGGAGAGTGAGTGGTGGATTTGGGTTTCGTGTGGAACATGAAACAGCCAAGTGCCTTCTTTCTCACCAGAGAAGGCAGCCCAGGTCAGCTCTTAATGTGTTCCTGCAGTGTTGTGGAAGGTCTGAGGTCCTACTCAGTGTGCTGGGGACTATGGGTCAGTGACACCCTCCATAGGCCATGTACCACAACATCTGTCGGCCCTGGGGCTGGAATCCTCAGCCGATGCATGGCAGGCAGGCCAGGATTCAGGCTGTGCTAACTCGTAGTCTGCATCCACCTTTCCCTTCCTTCCTGGGTGGAGATTAAAGAGCAGATGGTAATGACAGGCTCTGTGCAGTGCTGAGCAGCAGCAGTGGCCTCAGTTGAGTCCTGCCATGCCTTTCAGCAATAGTGTGACACTCAGGCACATTAACTCAGCTCAGTGCCCCAAATTTTTATAAGATGGGAGTGACCCCTACCCCGAAGGTGTGTAACTTGGGGAATCCTCCAACACTTCCTGCTCTTACTGGGATTCTGAGCTTGCCATGATTGGTGGATGCAGAAGAATCGTCAGCTCTTGGGAAGAGGAGCATGTGATGCCTGAGAAGCCCTGAAAGTCACATCAGAGGAAATGGCGTCAGATGCATCCAAATGTCATAAAACATATCTTCTTCCTCTTGTCAAAGGAAAAGGGTCATTTAGCCTGTGAGTCAGCGTGTGCCTTGTGGCAGCTGATCCTTGCCAGGGGAGCTGTGAGAAGCCGTCCAGTGAGCCGTCCGTGGACATTGACTATTCCTGCTAGACATTTGGAAGGGAGAGTTCAGGTGGACTTCTGCATGGAGAGAGGGTGTTGCCTGGGACCTGCTTTCAGGGGGTTTCTGTCAGTACTGATGCACTGTAAAGGTGGCCAGCTGTGGTCAGACACCGCCGAGCTGACTGAGCTGGCGGTTCCTCAGTCTGCACGGTGTAAATGCTGTGGTGCTGTTGAGTGGAACTCCCGAGGCCAGAGAGCTCACCGAGGACTCCTGCTTCCTGCCTCAGGGCTTTTCACTTTAGTGCCTTAATGAGGCACCCACCGCATGTTGGTATTATAGATACATAGTCCATACACAGATACTTTCTGCTCTGGTTAAATACATGTGCAGATATTAACTAGAAAACAAGTCAACTGTGCTCGTGTGCACTCCTGTGAGAGGAACACAGGTAGATACAGCAAAGGCCTGGCTACTTTGCTACCCTTTGCAGCTTCCTGTGCAGTTAGGAACCCGACAGAGACTTGTACTCCGCTGTAGTAAGTGCAGGCTTTGAGGAGGGCTCAGTGGTTTCTAGAGCAGTTCAGAAGAACGCTGCAGGTGGGGGACAGAAAGTGCAGTGCGGCCAGGGATGCAGGATTGCAGATGTGAGGCCAGCAGAGATAATAGCATACAGTGCTAGGAAATGACAGGGAGGCCAGTCGCGGGAGGGGGGGCGGCGGGGGGTGGGGGACGACGACGGGACTCAGTGTAATAGCATTGCAGAGCGAACCCAAGCCAGCCCTGATGGCCAGAACCCAGGGTAGAAGGCACAGAAGGAGAGAACTGACTCCCAAAAGTGGTCCTCTGATTTCTACATGCACCAGACAGCACGTGTGTCTATACCCCCACACACACACACACACACACACACACACACACACACACACACACACACATACACACCACACGTACCACACACCCATACCACACACACACACACACACACACATCACACCACACACCCATACCACACACATCACACCACACATATCACACCGCACACCAATATCACACCCATAACATACACACATCACACCACACACAACCATATACATCATACTACACCTACACCAGACATACAGAACCACACACACACACACACACACACACACACACACACAAAAGTAAATAAAATAGAATTTTCAAAAAATGAAAATGACAAGCAGCATGAAGTCTGAGGCTTGGATGTGGTGTGTCTTGGAATGTCAGGTCTGGAAGTGATAAGTAATATCGTTCTGTATGTGTTGCTCTGATTGGTTGATAAATAAAGCTGTTTGGCCAATGGTGAAGCAAAATAAGGCTAGGCAGGACATTCTAACTAGGGGGTGGGGAGAAAAAAGGAGAGCAGATGAGACGCTGCCAGCCGTCGTCGCCATGACAAGCAAGATGTAAAGATACCAGTAAGCCATGAGCCATGTGGCAAAGTATAGATTTCTAGAAATGGGTTAATTTAGGATGTAAGAGCTAGGTAGCAAGCAGCCTGAGCCATTAGGCCATGCAGTTCATAATATAAGCCTCTGCGTGCTTACTTGGGGGATGCGAGTGGTAGAGATTTGTTCTGACCGCCGGCCAGGCAGGACACAGGAGAACTTCCCACTACATGGGCGCTCTTGCAGGGTTCTGAGTAGGAGTGACACATTGCTGGGAATGGGAGTAAGATGGAGTAAAGGTGAAATGGAGGGTAAACCTGGAGAGCTGAGATGAATGAGGGGGAGGAGGAGAGGTCCTGGAGCCCTGGACTAAGCACATGGCAGGACAGGCATTGAGGGATATCTACAGACACTCTGCCTTGGAAAGGATAGGTTTCCTATCAACCCGTTCGTCTCTTCTGTGTCTTGTAGATTCGGCCAGTGATTGAACAGACCTTCCCCTTTTCTGAAGTCCCAGAAGCCTTCCTGAAGGTGGAAAGAGGCCACGCCCGAGGAAAGACTGTGGTCAACGTCATTTAAATAAAGATGCCCGTGCCACGGGTTATGGCTTTCCTGTCTGAGTGCCTGTGATCCAGACATCAACCCTCAATAGGTGCCATGAAACGTAAATCTGACTTGGAAAGTACGCTTGTAAACGTGAATATGACCAGTGAGACAGCTCAGCAGACAGAGGTGCTGGCAGTGTGAGCCATGGCTGCCTGAGTGCAGACCTGAGCTCACGTGACGGAGGGGGCGAGAACTGACTCACAGAATGGTTCTCCGAGTTCTCCCCCATGCATAAACCTCCACAATGATAAAGAAAATTACTAATGTCATGATCTTTTTTAATGTTGGGGGGCGGGGCACATGTGCCAGGGTGCACTTGTGGATATCACAGGGACTGTTCAGTGCTCGGTTCTTTCTTCCTGCCATGTAAGTTCTGGGTAGAGCGCAAGTCCTTAGGCTTGGCGGCAGGTTCCTTTACCCGCTGAGTCATGTCACTGGCTCAATTAAAAAAAAAAATTTAAGTATGTATTTTAAGAAATACTTTTTATAGCGGGGCAGTGGTGGTGCCTGCCTTTAATCCCAGCACTTAAGAGGCAGAGGCAGGTGGATCGCTGTGAATTTGAGGCCAGTCTGGTCTACAGAGTGAGTTCCAAGAGAAACCCCATCTCAAAGACTTTTAAAATCAATTAACATACAGAATAGTTTCTTCATGGAATTTCTGTATCAGCTCCTGCACTTACCTGCAGTCAGAAGTACATAGTGTTTTGTTTTTAATATTTTTATTTTGTCATGTGTATGGGTGTTTTGCCTACATGTATGTGCACCACATGGCATACCTTGTACCTGTGGATGCCAGAAGTGGGTGTCTGATCCCCTGGAACTGGAATTGACAGGTGATTGTGAGCTGCCATGTGGGTGCTGGATATTGAACCCCGGTCCTCAGGAAGAACAGCCAGTGCTCTTAACTACTGAGCCATCTCTCCAGCCTCTATGTGGTGTTTTTGTTTCCTTAAGCTGCTCTTCACCCAGCTTTGCAGATTCCTGTGGCCTTCTTGCAGCTCAAACCCCATCATCTTACCTTAATGTGAGATTCTAAAATGTGTGGTGTATAGATGGATGTTAGTGTGAAGAACTTAACATTAGTTCCTTCTGAAATTCAGCAGTGATTATTTTCCTACCTGGATGCTATAGGTTGGGTTGGAAACATCTCCAAAGACCCATGTGTGCACCATACACACGCAACAATGTTGGGAGGTGGGAGAACCTTTAAGGGTTAGGACCCAGTGGGAGGAAGTGGAGAGGAGCCGTTGGAGGAGACAGCAGGCCCAGTTCCTCCTGCCTCTGTATCCTCATCACTTGTAGGCAGGCCTGTGGAGCATTTTCTTGATTGGTGAGCAATGTGAATGGCCACACCCACTGTGGGAGGTGCCACCCCTGGGTTAGGTGGTCCTGGAGTATATAAGAAACCAAACTGAGCAAGCTAAGAGGGAGCAAGCCAGTGAGCAGCACTCTTCCAAGACCTCTGCTTTAGTTCCGGTCTCCAGGTTCCTGCCTGCCTTGAGTTCCTGCCTGCCCTGACTTCCTGCCATAATGGACTGCAATCTGAGAAGTGAAATAAATTTCCCCCATGCCCCAAGTTTGTTTTTGGTCACTGTTTCATCATAGCAATGGAAACCTAGCTAAGACAGAAATTGGAACCAGGAATGGGTATTGTTTCTATGAGAGGCCTGACCAGGTTGTTTCGCAAGAATTGTGTAAGTGTTTAGACCTTTGGACTGGAAAAGCCATTGAGTACTTAAAGCTTAATGGGCTGTTCTGTGGAAGCTGGGGAGACAGTTACATGCCAAAAGAAAATCAAGATTGGCCTACAAAGTTCAGAGGAGGCAGACTACTGAAGCTCACAATTAGAGACTTGGACTTTTAGAAAGACAATTTAAAAAAAGAACTTGACTTTTATAAAGTGTTGAAAAATTTAAAGACTGGCACTTATAAAGTTACATTGTTTTATATTGTGATATTAATACTGACATGACATTTTGGGTACAAATGAGAAAGGAAAGATTACCGTGACTAGTAATGTGGCTGTGTGTCAAATTGAAAAGGGCTCAGTTGTGCTGGCTAGCTTTTGTCAACTTGATACAAGCTAGAGTTATTCGAGGAGAACCTCAGTTGAGAAAATGTCCCATCAGATTAGCCTGTGAGGGAGGCATTTTCTTGATAGAATTGATGTGAAAGCGCCCCGCCCATTGTGGGTGGGTCGTCCCTGGGCAGGTGGTCCATAAGAAAGCAACTGAGCCAGCCAGTGAGCAGCACTCTCCCCAGGCTCTGCTTCAGTCCTACCCCGGGTTCCTGCCTGCGTTCCCTCCACGAAGGACTGTAACCTGCGAGGTGAACTAGACCGTTGCCTCCTGAGACTGTTTTCTGTTGGTGTCTGAACCGAGCAGCGCGAACCCGAGACTCGCCATTCTGTGCTGCCTCACCGTGCCCTCAGCAGCAGCTGAGCTAACGTCAGATGAAACCAGCCACTGTCAGCCCTGCCTCCTTAGGCGTTACCCTGGTTATCTTGTCTCAGTGATGCAAAGCCGGGTTTCCTTATGCTTTCATTTGCCACTCACTGTCCTTAGCACAGTCTTAAATGTGGGATTGCTTGGGTGTATATAGAAAAAAATTGCCTTTTAATACTGAAAGTTTCCTTTATTTTGACACTAGAAGCTCATGTAGCACAAGCTGGCCTTGAACTCCTAACCCTCCAGCCTCCAGCCGTAACGTGCTGGGATTAGGGGTATACACCACTGCACCTGGCTGAAGACATTAAAGCCCCTAACATTTTGCGTGTAGGCCAGGCTCCTTTCAGCCACCGCAGCCTGCTTCTCTGACGGCTTCTCCACAGACATTGCTACTGACCACTATTTTCCGACCTCACGTGCCTCACCAATAAGCTTGTCATTCTTGAATCTCCATTTGTTCAAGGTGTTTGCTGCTGTTTTACACTCAGCTTCATTACTGCACCTTAGATACTTGTTCCTAACCTTTCATGTACACAGACCCATTTAGAGAAAGTCTCCACCCCATGTATTCCTGTTAGATACCTGTTTAGTATTATGTTGGATGTAGGGTTTCCTCTAAGGTCACTCTAGATTTCCCTCAGTACAAATTTGTGGACTTGTTTTACATGTATGAGTGTTCTGCCTGCATGTATGTAAGTGTACCATATGCATGCAGTGCCTGCAGAGGCCAGACGGGGGCATCAGATCACTTGTATCTGGAGTTAGACTGTATGCACAGCCATGTGGGTACCGGAAACTGAACCTGGGCCCTCTGTAAGAGCATCCAGCACTCTTAACTGCTGAGCCATCTCTCCAGTTCCTGCACAAAAAGCAGGGTATGGCGGTACATGGCTTTTAATCTCAGCACTTGGGAGGCAGAGGCAGACAGATCTCTGTGAGTTTGAGGCCAGGCTGGTCCACAGAGTGAGTTCCAGAATAGTCAGGGCTGCATAATGACCCTGTCTCAAAAAGAAAAGAAAGAAAGAAAGATGCCAATGCCACTTGACTTATCTGTCTAGAAGTTCTCAGTTCTTGTCCCAGAGAGCTCCAGTGTCAGTGCATTAAATCTTTGAGTGCACATGTGAGCCCCTTAAAAAGTGCTCAAAAGGTGGCTAAAAAGTGCCTGCAGTTAGCATGCTGTGCCTCAGTCTGCCCACCTACTCTCGGCTGTGCTAGAGGACTGCTAAACCGATTCCAGCATTTCGTTACATGGTTAACAAGGAATAAGTTTATTCAAGAGATCAAACAGGCTTTTGAGAGGACACCTTACCCCACCGCACTATAGCGACATACACAGAGCCTACAGAGTTGTACACATAAGAAGCCAGACGTGCTGGATGCTGTTGTGAACGCTGTTGAAGCTGCAGATAAACTCTTCTGAGGAGCACTTGCCTGCCGTTGGCTCCAGAGAGGAAGCAGGCTCGAGCAGGTGGAACAGAAGTGGACTTGTTGAGCCTCTGACAGGAGCACCAGTGTTGTGATGAGGACAAAGTGAGGAGGAGGAGGATGTGTCCAAGGAAATGTCCGGCAGTTTTGCTCAAAAGGACAATGTGCTGTTTGAGCAGCAGAGTCTGGACTAGTATATCACAGCAGTTGTTCCCGACTGCCTGCGGAGGTCTGGGTCTCTGCCCTAACACTGCACAGAGCCCCTGGGTTCTTGCCCTCACTCGCTGCAAGTGGCTGTTAGCCCTGGCCCGGAGCTTCCCACATCTCTGCTTCCAGAAGGGAGGTCCCCTGTGTCTTCAGATCCAAAGCAGTCCTCCTGCTGGTAGCCCTGGAGACACCAGGCTGAAAGGTCTAGGTTTAGCCAAAATTATAGAATATGGCTTCTGCATTATAGGTAGGTGACAAAGTAAGAGTTAATAAATTAGGCCATAATACTGTCCCAATAGCAGCTGTAAGGAGGGCATTAAACTATCTGTGACACTTGAGGGCAGCCCACGGGTGAATTAAAAAAGTTCTGCTCGTGAGCTGACATCAACATGAAAATTTGCAAGTTTATTCGCTTTGAACATCAACTGAAAATAGTGTTTTTTTATTCTTGCTAAACTCCTTGAACATGTCTGAGTATAGGACTTTCCCACTCTGCCATTCAGCAGTAAACAATTCTGGAAAACGTTAAGGCAGTGGATCCTCCAATGCTAAAAGTCTTGTGATGAACAAACATGGGCTTTTATGCTTCCCGTTAAGGCAATCTGTGTGTCCAAATCAGAGGTCTTGTCTCTGTCCCTGGAGATAAGTTACGATGTGGTCTTGATCTTTAAAATGTCTACACCTGGAAGCTGCTACAGGGGCAGCCTGTTTAAGGAGTTACTGAGAAATACAAGGCAAGAAATGAGAACAACAAACTATGGCTTCAACCAAAAATGTCTTTGAAAAGGTAATTTCCCTGTCATGGCCTTCTGTCCACTTCCCACTTGGCTCCTCCGTCAGCTCTGTGATTTTATTTTTCTTCAGTAAGGTGGCCAGAAATCCCCTGGAAACACTCCTCCTGCAGTCTTGGTTCAGGTTCATAGGACCATGGC